TAAAGTTTTATTTTTTTTCCTTTTTTTTTTTTTTTTTTTTTTTTTAGTTGTGTGATTTTTGGTTAATTGTATTGAATTAATTTAAGATCAGTTGACCCAGAACATAACGATTACTTCCAGAATATTAACATAATACAAGGGATAAATAAAGAAACACTAAAGTGCATAAACAAACCTGAACCAGCATGAGAATTCATGTCTAAACTGGACTTTCCATCTGAGTACTCATCGTAAAAATTATTACATCTCATCTGTTGATGAAACCCGATTCATTTCGGAATAGCTCTGCACTAAGTATCTGATGCCCCTCATGTTCATTTATATACTGACATCAGCTGCTGATTTATTTTTGTCTTTCAAATCAAATTTGTTGACGTGCAATACTTCATTTTTAATGAACATCCTACTGTGAATTTTGTACCTAGTTACATTTCTACTTCACAGAGATGAATGAGTGTGTGAATTCTAATGGCAAGTAAAGTTTCAATGCTGCTTCTGTCATAGTTAATAATAGATAATTAATCATGTAATAATGCCTCATATGACTGATAGCTTAATACCTAACATTTGAATGGATTTTACGTTGAAGGCAATGAAAAGATTTCAGTGATGTCGTATCATTCAGCCAGCAACATTAATAGCATTTTTAAATTATTAAATAACGTCATGCCTTATTCACTATGTCATCATGCAATTCCTAAAAACACAAATCAGTCAATAAATGTGATACATGTTTGTATTTCACAGCTTTTTTAACTAGTCAGGATTAAATGAAACCATTTCAGTGGATGACTGGAAGACAGCAGCAAGCTATCTATTTTCCTCACGTGTCAAGTGCATGCTTTAATTTTTCTATTTCAGATCACAATGCTATTTAGAATAAAATCCTCCTGCTTGAGTTGCCCTGATAGTTGTGTTCACATGTGCATGTGGAGAGTGTGTCGATGATTGAGGGCTTGTTTGAAGTGTTCTGAGTCAATGAGAGTTGAACCCCAAGTGACAAGCTGTGAAATCAATAGACAACAGTCAATGCCCAACACTTAAGGTGCCTGTTGAAAAAAAAAGGACGCCAATAATTGTTATTAATACTCCGATTTTCCCAGAGCACTGTTTAAGGCCAATTCTAGTGAAACCGACTTCTCAAACACAATGGTGCCCTGAAGCTACGTAACCATAATCACATGCAAAACAAGGTTGTGATTATGTTGTAAATAATGAGGAAGGACTGTGAACAGCAGTGAACAATAGCGTAAATAATAAGTGGGTCATGCATTTGTGTAGTGCTGTTGAGCTTCGCACATCTCATTTTCAAGCTCATCTATGAGTGGGTTGTGTTCCAAGAAAGGCAATAAAGCAACTTTATTCATGCCACATTATAGACAAATCATATGTGATTATTAAAATTAGGTAACAAGCAACAATTATTTTAAATAAGGGATGAAGTTACTTTATTAATAATATCCTGATTTAAACACTGATTTGCCAACAGCAATGTATGTTTTTTATCATTCCGCTGATATCATTTTAAAATCATACGCAAACTGTATAAAAAAGACTACTGGAGTACATTTGACAAGAAAATATTATTTCATTCTTTCTACTTTAACTTTAATTTAACGTGTTGCCATATCTTTGCAATACTTGTGAACTTTACTAGCAAATTTACTTTCTGAGTTAAAATTGTTTCAAGGTAAATCCTACACCATTTTTTTTTTTTCAGTGTGTTTGTTCAGACAGATTGTGGATGCATCAAAATTGGAATATTTCTCTGTTTTATAGTGAGTGAAAACGGAAGCCTAAATGAAAGTAGTAGTATGTCCAAATTCACAGTATTTGTAAAATACTAAAAGTTGGTGAAAAGTACCTGCATGACCTCTTTCCACCGAGATTCTTGAGTTCGCATCAATGGACACTTTACTAAGCAAAGCTCTGATTCAACACTTTTTAACGATCGTAAGGTAAGTAATTCTTCAAAATATGTACCTACTCAGTATGTCATTTTGGACAGCATGTCAGTAGTGAGTATTTTACATTGCTGCAACAAGTGAGCTCTGAGTGAGTCATTGAATCATTCACTCCTATTCGACTTGTTCAATAACATTGATTCATTCAAGAACGAGACACAACTTTCTTTGAAAAAAAACATCACACAAACAAAACCAAATTAAACCCTGCGGCTCGTAACGATACATTGATGTGTAAAGACACGAAACGATCGGTCTGTGCAAGAAACTGAAGAGTATTTATATAATTTTTTACCTCTGATTCACCGCAATGTCCGAACTGTCCTGAGCGCGTTCAACAGCCGGCGCGTGACGCATCTTCTTCTTTTTCTTGCTTTATGGCGCATCGCAGACTTATAAGTGCATTACCGCCACCTATCTCTCAAATGGACCATTGACACTCTATCTACAATCTCAATTAGGAGTGTCAATGGTCCATTTGAGAGATAGGTGGCGGTAATGCACTTATAAGTCTGCGATCCGCCATAAAGCAAGAAAAAGAAGAAGATGCGTCACGCGCCGGCTGTTGAACGCGCTCAGGACAGTTCGGACATTGCGGTGAATCAGAGGTAAAAAACGATGTCAATACTGTTCAGGCTGTCGAGGATGCGCTCAGGACACGCTCAGGACAGTTCAGACATTGCAGTGCATCAGAGGTAAAAAACGATATACAAATACTGTTCAGTTTCTTGCACAGACCGATCGTTTCGTGTCTTTACACATCTATGTATCGTCATGAGCCGCAGGGTTTAATTTGGTTTTGTTTGTGTATGTTTTTTTTTTTTACTCTCAAAGCCGTGATTCCCATTCACTTCCATTATATGACTGACAAACTGCAACGGTTTGAGTTAAAAAATCTTCGTTTGTGTTCTACAGAAGATGCAAAGTCACCTACATCTTGGATGCCATGGGGGTAAGCAGATAAACATCAAATTTCATTTTTGGGTGAACTATCCCTTTAAACACATGACAGGAAAGATGTAGTAAATGTAGGAATGACCCTTCAGGATCCTATTGCTATTTTCAATAAACTGAGTCTCTTGTGTGAGTTATCAGACCACAACTGAATGGTTTCAGACATTAGGCTTTATAATGACAGTAGACGCAATCAGTTCCCGTTGAAAGTTGAAATGGAGACTCACTCTTTATTGCTTTTCTCTTTGTTGACAATGACAAATACATGACATGATCCCTCCCTCTTTAGTCACCCTAAATCTCAGAGCGGAGCGGAGGGCATCTGGTCTAAACCCGCCTGTAAAATGAACGGGCTTCAAGACCCAAAGCATCTTGGGAGGTGAGGTTTTACTCTTAAGCCACCGGCTCCTATTCACACTGACACCAAGGCCATTATAATTCCCTCCAACACAAACAAAACCAAATTAAACCCTGCGGCTCGTAACGATACATTGATGTGTAAAGACACGAAACGATCGGTCTGTGCAAGAAACTGAAGAGTATTTATATAATTTTTTACCTCTGATTCACCGCAATGTCCGAACTGTCCTGAGCGCGTTCAACAGCCGGCGCGTGACGCATCTTCTTCTTTTTCTTGCTTTATGGCGCATCGCAGACTTATAAGTGCATTACCGCCACCTATCTCTCAAATGGACCATTGACACTCTATCTACAATCTCAATTAGGAGTGTATTATATTAGGAGCCATTATAATTCCCTCCATCATCACAAAGACCTTCAGCAGAAATCTCTTGTAAAGATGACTGCTGGCACTGCCATTCAGGAAGAGGATTTTAAAATGTCAGCCAATATCAGAGATTTGCCTCATTAAAGTGGGTTGAGGGGGGCTTTCCTCAAGACCATTAT